ATTAGCGCATTTAAATTACGATAATAATCTGACCACGCAGACGAATCTCAAAAAAATTTCAGAAAGAAAAATTTTAAACGAGAGGAGTTAGCTGACAAATTTTTAGCCTATGTTTTCAGGCAGACAGTAAACCCGCGATCTACCTTAATGTGATGTATGAATATACTAGTATGCACCAAAGCATTTTTATTAAATATACTACCATATACCAATGCAGATACCAAAATATTTATATTATACTGATTTGATTACTCTGTTCTTAAAAATTCACCTATGTACTTTAATCTCAGAACAGTTGGTTTTTAAACAAATTATACATATAACATTATCAGATAATTTATAACTTTCTGTTCCATGCAGTGCCGTAACACTGTAATTGGATATCTAAATGATAAAAATTTCTGCAGCATGGTTCTTGACAGGGAGTTAAGGTTGAGTTTCAGTAATGAAATTTTTATGTGCATAGGATGTTAAGCCAACCATGATTTGTAAAACATTTCCTGCTACAACTTTCACAACCTACAATTATCAAAACAAAAGTTGAGTTTGATGATAGTTTATTAACATTTGTGCTGTAAAACAATTGCATCCTATTAACCAGACCATTAGAACCCTATCATATAAAATGGCCAATTACTTGCATATCATAGTATTGAAATTTTTTCTATCAGTTTGTAAAAGTAGTCCATGTCATCTGTTGATATATAAATGTGAACATTGAAATAATAATATACTACTACCAATCTGATTTATTTTTTATTGATTTCTATTGATCAGTTGCAATTCTGAAGACTGCAACACACAGCATATAGTCTAGCTACCTTCAATAAGACAATATCTTAATGATTTAGTAAATGTGCCTTTAATTTTTTTTAAAAATTCCCATGGTAGGATTGATGATTTTTACAATGAGGCCAAAATTGAAGCCAAAAATTTTTACAGAGGCCAAATTTGAGGCCAGGCCAACTTTTGAGACCAGGCCAAGATTTGGAATGAAGCCAAATTAGAGGCCAAAATAGAGGCCACGCCAACTTAGAGGCCAGGCCAGGCCAAAGGGGCCAGGCCAGGTTTTATAGTATGCCAATTACAGATGCCAAGAGTCACACATACAGCAGTCATACTCGCGCTGTTATCAGGAAACTTGATATTGCATCAAAAGTTTCAATCTTGTGAAACATGAAAGACATGGGGAATCATTTATAAATGATTCATACAGTGTATGTATACTCATATCACTTCTAACACAAATAATGTAGTGAAAATCTGGTTTAAAACGTAAAAAATCTAACATGAATAGATCCATGCAGTAAAATACATTGAACGGGTGTTATCTAAAGCAGTTACTGGATTGCTCCTTATATGTATTTAACCAACAAGCAATTCTACGGTACGGAACCATACTTATAATTACGTATAAATCAAACGTTCTATCATTTCTGAGCATTAAGTAAACATTAACTGCCTCATAGATTTAAACCAATAGTATAGCTGGTGTACGAAAAAAAAATTTCTCGATTCGCACTTTACCAGCGGTAAGACTGTTTTCAGACTAACGCTCTAACCTACATGGATCATGATGAATTCGGACATTTAAAATGAACCTTGATTAAATGGACTTAAAGTATTTCTCAGAAAGATGCAAATGTTGTGCCATAAAAGTGTACTTTTAAAATAAAGTGGGTCTTCACTCCATGTTTTTAAAACCAAAAAATGTATATTTTATTGAAAACTTTTAGGATTATCTTTCAAAAAAAAAAAAGGAGCGAAGACCCATTAAAAAAAGTAAGTATGATAAAATTGTCGTTTTTGTTATTTTAAGTGTGTGTGTATGCTTTTTCATGGGCAAATAATTTCAGTCGTTGTGAGATTTTTGTAAATTGTAGAGATTTTACATTAAGTACACTTTAATTTTAGATGAAATATCAAATAACATTTGGATATAATTGAGATTTAATTTTTCATTTCTTATCTGTCACACTATAGGCACTTTCGCCCGCCTTATCCCCCAATCTTCTTTGTAAATAACTATATATTTCAATGACATAAAAAAATTAATAAACCTCTGTTCATATTTACGATGAAAGAACTATTAATAAGCTTTGATTGAATCAAAACTACATTAATGTCGTCCTGTACAAAAATTATTTCTTAAATAAAACTCTATATTGGATTTCTTCTACGCTAGTTTAGCCTAATTGATCATAAAGGTATAAGTTACATACAAATTAACCATTAATAACACATTTTAAATGCAAAATAAAATTTTCAAAAATGCAGCTCATATTACCTTAATTTAATATGAAAAACTTATTTTCATTGTATGTATATGATGTACAATTGTATATTTATCAAAATTAAATTTGTAGATAGAAGAAAAAAACTATAAAGAGAACTATGGAGAAACAATATATGACAACATTCTTCCTCATAAAATTTTGATTTAAAAAGAAATCCCTTAGAGACCCCTTTCTTTACAACCACCCCCTCCTTCCTCGAAACTGAACTTTCATTCTACAGGATCAGCATTTTCCTCCGTGAATAATTTGTTTAATGAAAAAAAAAACATAAAAAGAAAAACTTCCTTTAAGCCCTTTATGCCAGTACAAGGGAAAATATTTTATTGGGTTTGAGCGCAATACTTTATTATAAAACAAAATGAATTTTCTTTTTTACAAAATCAGTAATGTAAAATTGTTTTTATGTTATTTAAATAAAAAAACAAGTTATAAATGTAAAAGTACTATGTAACGTGACAGTTTTATTGCATGAGTGTATTTCATAAAACCAATGTGATCATACGAAAATAATTCAGTCACTTTGGTCAAACTAAAGAATGGTTGGATGTATCTCTTGAGCATGATGTAAAGGAACAATAATTAAAAGAACAATATTAATCATTTTCCTTTCTACGTGAATTTCTTTAATTTTATTTTAAACACGTCTGTTATATTATTATAAAAGGGGGAAAATGGACTGGAATTAAAAAGGGGGATGGCATTTGAAAATCTATTAAAATTATGAAATGCTATACAAGCAACTTTTTACTGACACTAAATTAAGGTGTTTCTAAATTTTTGGTTCACAAAAGGCAGATTGCGATGAAAAGATGCTATACAAGTTTCTTAAGAAGATGTCAAGACATTTATTAAGTAAAATCCGGAAGTTTCTTTGAAATATAAATAAGTGTTCCCACGAAATGCTAACGAATTCCGCAATGAATAAACTAGTCATAAATCAGCTGGATATAGCAAATAAAAATTAACCTTTAAAGTTATAGTTACTGTAGAAGTATAAATAGGAAGGATTTTTCGATGTTTCCTCACAGAATCTTTTGCCTTTCACCTGTTCACAGTCCCTTCTCGTCTACCAAGGTAAGAAACTTTTACATCATCGTCTCAAGCTGCGGTCCGGAATCTGCATATAAGGCTCAATCGCATCAGCTCGGGCCTTTCCGTCGGAGGTTATTTTCCCGACCTCTGACGGAAAGACCCGAGATGCATGGTGCGATTGCATATAGCTCTCTCTCTCTCTCTCTCTCTCTCTTATTGGGTTGATTGTACATTTTGCCCGCGGTTTGCGACGATGGAAGTACGTGTGGTTTGCTTTGTTTGGCGAATAAGCGGGTAAAATTTCTCATAGTTTGTAGAAAAAAGGAAAAAGGAAAAAAAATAACTTTTAATGCAACAGTTTGCAAAAATCTTAGAAATAATTTGCACAACAAATTAAGGGGAAAATGGAAAATACTTTTGTGTCCTATAACACGTACATTTCAAATTAGATGTTATTCATCTACCTAGAGATTTGTGTAAAAAAAAATCATTTTTCGGTTAAAACAAACATAAAAGAAGGACTTTATGTTTTATGACACAGTCATCATATCTTTTCGCAAAATATTTGTTTTGAAATTAAGATTTCACGTTTTAAGTTTTGTGGTCTAGTGGTCTAACATATCTTCAGTTTTTCTGAAAAAAAAATTTATTGCTTGCGTACAATCCACATGAAAATAACATTTTTAAAAATGAAATATTAGCAGATAAAATTTTCACAAAAACGTTTTATTGTATATAGTCCCATGTCTTTTGAAAAAAATTCATTATGTTAGTTTTAATCTTAACATTCAAGAAATACCAGCTGAAATACGGGGTTTTGATAATTCTGTACTTTTTTCAGAGAAAAAAAAAAACGATTTCATTTCAATGAACTTGACTTAAAATTGATTTGAGAATACCAATAGTTTGTTTATGCTATGGAATACATGAGTGAACATAAAAAATAAGTATTTTTTCTTAGCTGTAGAATCTTAATTTGAAGGAAAAAAAATGAACTTCCTGACTTTCTTTTGAATCCCATGCACATGTGGGTTTTATAATTTCTGTAACACTACCATGTTTTCTATAGGATGTTCAAGCTGCTGTGTTATCTAGCTCTGCTGGCCATAGCCGTCGCTGATGACTATTATGTCCCATCCTACAGTGGATTAAAGGGAAACAACTTAGGAGTTAGTACAGTCATCTATGACGTCAAAGGACTTGGGGGCACAGGCAAAGGAAATGTCATCCTTGGAAACCAAGGATATGGAGGTATCAGCACTTGGGGCAAAGGTTATGGGGGATCATGGAACTCCGGACTCATGTTAGGAGGAAAAGGATTAATGGGCGGTAACTACGGTAACATAGGATATGGAGGAGTCTTGTTAGGAGGAAAAGGATTATTGGGCGGTAACTATGGTAACATCAGATATGGAGGACCCTTGGTAGGAGGAAAAGGAATAGGAGGAATTCTCCTCGGAGGCAAAGGATTATGGGACAGTGGCTATGGAAACATTGGATACGGAGGTGTTCTGTTGGGAGGAAAGGGACTACTCGGCGGAAATTACGGTGCTAAAGGATTAGGAGGAATTGTCCTTGGAGGCAAAGGATTAGTAGGCAGTGGATATGGTAATCTGGGATACGGAGGAATCTCTTCTGTTGTAGGAATCAAGGTAATAGAATAAACCACGATGATTCTTATGCATATGGTAATAAATGATTTTATTCTTGCTTTATTTTCCAAAAACATGCTACTTTGAGGGTATGAATTTTAATATTTCATCTTTTTTTCAGGATTATTATTGAAAACCTGGATGAACGTATTTACGCTGAAATTGTCACTGTCATTTTTCTATTAACAAAATAAATCTTGAGCACCGGTAACTAGACTTGATCTTGTATATTTCTGAGCAATGAAAAGAAGAAAAGTTAAAAAGTATGCATGAGATAAAAGTAATGGGTTCGATTATAGCGCTTTGTTTTTGGGTTAAAACCATAAACATGAACTAACTGAAATTTCATCAGGGCTGACTGATGTTTCTTGTGCATTATCGAATCGGATTTGAAAAATTGTTTTGTTTGTTTGTTTTTTTTTTGTTTTTTTTTTTTTTTTTTTTTTTTTGTATTATATCGGTAAAATACTAATGTACCACGAATAATCTATACATGTAGTACATTCATGCATTTACTGAGCTGCCTGGTATATGCACTTGACTTCGTAAACAGGTCTAACTGAAATTTCACCAGGTTTAATTTATCAGTAATCATTAATATGTCTTGTAAAAATTGAATCGGATTTGAAAATTTGGATTCTGTGTATTACAGCTACTAATGTACAACGAATAAAACATGCATAAATCTAAAGTAATACTGAGCTGGCTGACTTGATTTCGAATACAGGTCATATACAGCTGTAGTACCATCAAAATTATTCAGTATATATACAGTGTATTCCAGGAAATGCTTACACGTGCCTGAATTTTGAATTCTTAGTACTTTATTTTATTACTTTTCCATGAAATACTTATCATTTACCAAACCCATTGCGATTAGGTATTGTGAGAAACCAATAAAAATAACCCCAATATGAACCATGTTCTGGTTTGTCGCCGTTTTTTACTTTACTTTTCTTAATTTTCAATAGAATAAAAAGAAATTTGGTGAACAAATACCTGTATTAGTCCTTTAACTGGTGTCATCAAAAAAAGAATCAGTGCACGCACTTTTCCTTAATTTTTAACATTTTGTTTGCGATGAATATGTATATTTTTTAATTTTTTTTTTAAAAAAGGATCTCTTTATCATGACATATAATATGATAGATATGTGATATTCAATGAAGAAAACTCCTTATTTAGGGAAATTGAATCAGATTTGTAGAAAAACAGCCATTAATAACTCCTCCAAGGAATATTGATGGTCTTTCATTTTTATCATACTATTAAAATATTTCCTACATAAAGTTAAGAAGGGAAAATAACTGTTTATCATCTGAAAATTTTCAAGCACAGGAAAAGATTCCCAGAGGTTCATGCTATTATCTCCTCTTGAAAATGTCATTCAACTTTGATGCCAATTTTGATTTTCTTCAGTGTGATTGGTTGATGATGGTTAACAAATCTTTATTTTTCAACAAAACTATAACACATAACCCAAATCATCCAAACAGAAAAATAATAAGGACACATTAATAATCAAATAAAATCAACACTGTCTCAAAAAATAAGCCCTTGGTCTTTGATTTTAAAAAAAAATATACAATTAAAATCACTCATGATTGTATGTTCATATTATCTATGTGAATAAATGTTCAGTTAAAAGTACATCACATTACATGTATTATGAAAAATAGCAATTCACCTCCAATTTATTAATAGCAAAATTTGGAAAGATTTACAGAGCTGTGCCTTTTTTCTTTATTAATCTTGAGCTAATTAAACCATTCCAACACCATGCTTTCCCTTTCTATTTTTAACAAATATCTTAAATAAATGTACACTTATCAATCACATTTTTTTCCAATGCAAGATGTGCTCAATTTTTTTTTCAAGATTGACTAGACTGTTTTACAAGATTTTTTTATTGTAATACTGCAAAACCATTTGATGCATATACCAAATACAATGTACTTGTTAATGATTATTACTATACCAGCTGAATCGTAAGTATACTGGTGAATATAATACAAAGCAGTGAGGTGAATTTAACATGCATTGTTATTTAAAATTTCCATATACACCAAACTTAAACTCTTCAACTCTTTTTCAGCATATCAATTATTATATGTAATAATTACATTTGCAACTCAGTATACATGCAACAATTTGTTGTCATTTACTGAACGTGTACATAAATTGGCGCATATTCAAAATTTAGCGCAATGGGTATGGAGTTGTTGGTGTAATCATGAATTAGCGATACACATGTCCGTGCCTATATCATATTTCTGTAAATGGTTTCTAAGCGGTATTCATGAATTAACGCATCATTGTCTGTGCCAAAGCTGTTAAAATATGAAGCCCGCTTTTTTAAGTACACATACAGTATTCTCTCACTCTCTCTCTCAGAAAGGCAAAAACAAAATGAATATAAAAGTCAAATTTATGTTGGATGGAATCTCCAGGTATATTGTTCTGTATAAGAAAAAAATCACTGTAAACAATATATCACAGTTTTCAGATAATACATGTACTTTTTAAAAATCAAAAATACCATTATCCATAACATTATTCCATAAAATCACTAAAATCTACAGTATATCGCAACTTCTCTTGAATACTGATTCAGGATAATATAACAACTCTGACATTCAATTTCTTTCATCCTAACCTCCGTATCATAATTTAAAAATATGTTTTGGTTTTTTTTCTCGAAAATTGAGCAATGATCACAGCAAAGCATGTCTGAATATATAAATATGGGTATAGAAGCAAAATATGTCCAGTGGCACACAATATAAAAAACAAATTTTTAAATACAGTTTGTAATGCACTTTCCATATAGCAGTCAATTGGATAAAAATAACAATTCTTTAAGGTATATCTAGTGATTCCATAAATATATGAAAATACTAGCTTTCAATTTTCAGATTTAATAAAACAATCTGTTTCAGTTTCACTTTCAGAGTAAATTGTCCATATCACAGTTACTTTATCACTTAACATTAATGAATAATGTCCCGCAGAGTTAAATTATTGTACGGGCTGGTTCCCTCCAATCCAAACTCGTTTGTTCTCCTCCTACGGATTTCATTTTCTCTCTTTCTCTGACGTACTGCGGCAGGATTACTAATCTGACGACGTACAAGTCTGGGTGCTCTCCCTTGATAGTCTGGAGAGGCAGTTGGACTGTTGCCAAGGTAAAGGTCAGTGAAGAGCTGGAAAAAGGGAGATAATCAAAATTTAAATTGTGCAACAAATTGCAAAATTTCAAATTCATTATATCAGCATTAAATTTAATACATTTTGAATGAAATCTCGTTCAGTTTCTTTCCATTAATCATCATCCAAATGAATGTTAACTGCTTAAAATTATACAGCAGAACTTGTAAACGTGTTTCAAGTATGTACTTCATAAATGTAAATGGATAATTGAATTGCATATAGTATTTTAAACAATATCTCTGCCAATATTGTTGAATATTTCTTAAATACATATGCATTGCGGTGATTCTACTCTAAGAATATCTTAAATTTTAACTCTTGATATTCAAAAGGTGGAACAATGGTTGTCACATAATAAAATCTTAAAGAGCTGGGTTCAAATATTATAGACTTCCTAATACCATGCTAACAGGTTTTTAAATCCTCAATAAAAAAGTCATAATTAATGTTCAAAATGTATGAAATGAAACATTTTTAATATATTTTAAAAATGAGGAATTTAAGGTAGTATTAACCTGTAATCGCTCCATTAGCTGGTCCTCCTGCTGGTTCTGGGCCCCTGCTTGATTAACTTCCTGGCTATTGGACCCTCTCCTTAACTGTCGCTCATGTTCTAAATAAATATATAGTGTTAATAAATGCATTAGTTTAGTTTAAATCAGCATTGAAAAATTTTAATATTATATATATACTAGATACAACTCATTCATAGTGTCCTTGCTTCAGCTACTTTGTGCTACATTTTAACATTTTAACATTTTGAATGTAAACCTAATGTTTTTGATTATCTGCTATTTTGATTTTAATCAATAAACCCCAATAATTTAATCAATAAAGAACAAAAGTGTTTTTTATATTATAACAATCATGTCAAAGCCATGTCACATCAATGACATGATAGAATATCATGTACTATTTAAAATTAAGTATGCATGAATGATACATTATTAAAAAAAATCAAACAATGTCAGAGGGAGAATTAAGTAATATATCTACAGTAACTCTACAAAGCAAATCTCTCTTTGTATTACATGTGTTATTTGTACAATGTATATGACAAAATTAAATAAACTCATCATTAATTTATATTAGCTTTTGTGTACTGTTATCAAAAGTGAAATACAATCATGTACATCCAATTCTTTAAAAATATTTCATAATATAAAAAATAAAATCAGCAAAGTGCCATGTTCCATTCTATTGACTAGTACAATAAAGAAAGACTGACAGAGAGGATAAGAAATAACAGTGAATTTTTTTTTTGGATTCATGCATAAAGGATGTCTATAACACATTAACTACTGAAACAACATTTAGCAATGCAGGTTGTTAGCTACAAAAGAAGGGTTAATGGGTATGCTTGTCTCCTGTCAAGTAATTCTAATTTTTATTTCTAAATGATTGATTGTGAAGATAAGAAAAAAATTAAAGCATTTTTTTTTTAGCAAAGGTTGTGACATGAGACAAACATCCCCTAAAAGAAGAAATGCATGCAGAGTTAGCTTCCTTTGAAATACCTGACAGCCTTGGAGCCCTGGGGGGCAGACCAGTCCTAGGACCACCAGAGTGACCCCGAGACAATCCGCCCTCTGGCCCCTCATCCTGTGCCTCAGCAAGAATAACTCCGTTTGCGAGCCGTGTTGAGCGAATGCTGCTAAGACTTGTGTGTGACCCCATGAGGCTTGCTCTGGAATCTGGAGATGAACGTAGAGACGTTAACAAGACATCAAAATCATTTACAACAGCTGGAGTGTTCTCTTTAGGAACTCGCTGGAAAAAGCGATGTTTTCCACTGCGATAACTACTTGCCCCTTGGCTAGTTACAGTGGACATTATGTCAATGTCTGCATTAGGATTAGTCTCGTCCGATTCGAAAAGTGGAGGTAAATCCTTATTAGGAGAATGAAGCTCAGATGGTCGACTATGAAGTAAAGATCTCACGCTCGGGGAGCGAGAAGATCGACTCGAGTCTGGTGTCTTAGACACTGAGTTTGCCAAATTTTCTGTTTGTAACATTGATAAAGTGTTTTTGATAGCATTATGTGTAGTAGCGCGGTCATTTTTATGACCTAAAGGTAACTCTATCACGGCTTCTGATCCTATCTCATGTGAGTCTTCATTGTGAGATAGTTCATCTGAGAGATTTCGTCTGCGACGAGAATTTTGCCTGTGAAGATTCTGACCTGCAAAGTGTTCTGAGGACTGGGATTGATGATCTGCCTCCTCTGTATGTTTTTGTTCATCCGACTGGCCACCGATTTCTTGCAGACGCTGATTTAGGGAGGATTTTCTATGTTGTAAGCGGCCCAGCAAACGACCTCCTGGTAAAGTAGTAGTTGTAGACACGTTTTCTGTCCCTTCACCTCTGAAAAGAAAAAAAATATCAATTCTCTTTGACGTACATCTTTATTTATTTCAATGAGACAGAGTATTCCAGTACTTGCACCTTTAAGTTTATAAATGCTATACATGCACATTAAATTTCAGCATGTACTTCTAAAAGAATTTACCCAGTACTAGAGAATTATACCTACATTATGCCTTGCCTTACTCTAGAATAACCAAGATATGCATTGTAAGACAATTTACCCATTAGCACCAACAGACAGCCCATTAAGTGTAAAGCTAGCCCTCAGTGGATCCACAGCTGTATCTTCTGCTTGCCTCCCCTGTAGTCGTCCTTGCTGTGCCATCTTCCTCCCCCGTAAACTGCTGGACCTCTCTACAGGGGTGTTGTCTACTCTCACTAGCCCCACCCCTGGTATACTGAGTTCACTCACATCATTCCCTTGTATACCAGAGGAATTCGTTTTCTTTGATGCAGCAAAAGCTCTGTAATATAAGATTAAGATTATTGTGGAATCATCATTGTCCAAGGTAGACTAATGTTTGTGGATTTTTTGGGTCACCTTTATCCCACGAATTTACATCCCCAGGAACAATTTTTTATCAGTATATATATTTATTTATTGAATCATCTGTATTTATAAGTCACCCATGAATTACCACCCAATTAACCAACAAAATTTTGCTAATGAACAGTATGACCCCCAGCCTCCCAAAATCAAAATGATTCCATAATAATTTTTGTCAAGGGGGGGGGGGGGGATGAGGAAATGTAAAGTGTGTGTTCAGTAATCATCTTTAATGGGAGGTGAGGGGTGGGGGAGTAATAATGATAGAAAACGTAAAACGTTTGTTCATCGATACCTTTGATTTCTTTCCGCCTGTTCCTCCGCCTCTAACTGAGCAGTGACCGGATCCCAGACCACCTGACCGTCCACTGGACATGTGGGGTGGGAGTGAAGGAGCCAGTTGTCTATACATTCCTTGTGAAACTTGAGAAAAGAAAGTAAAGCTCATTAGACCAAACAAATACTCAGAACAGAAAAAAAATGGAGACATTATCACAAAAAAGACTTCATTTTTTTTTCTGACTCTTTGTTTAAAATACTGCCTTACTTCCATGCTTTAGTCTCAAATATTGGGAGTTATAGCCCTGCATTTATACACATACACGTACACCACATACATGTACTTCTGTCAATCAAATGTTAATCACAAGTCTATTTGCCCTCCGCTTCCACAAATTTATTAAGTAAACATTTTTATTTTGTTATCTAAAAGTTAAAGAATAAGCAGTTACCTTGTGTTTGCATCGGGGTAACTTTCTGACATACTGGTTGACCTCGTAACCCCGAAGACAAATTCGACACTGCATGCCCGGCGCCAGTAATGGCCCTCTCTCCCGGACTTTCTCCAGAGGAAACTTGTGGATTATGTCCTCTGGTATATCACTGGGCTGCTGGTTGGCATTACTGAAAATTAAAGCCAGATTACATCATTATTAACTCGATCTTGCAAATATTTCATAATTTAATACTGTATACAGGGTTATTTTCATCCAGTGTTATTTTTGCCTTTTCACAAAAATTTTGCCCTGTTTCAAATTGCTCAATCAAACATGGTTCTGTCTAAGAAATTAAACTGTTTACTTTGAATTCCCCTGTATTTAATTACAATTTGTCTCAGGGGAAAATAAAACAGAAGTGAAAATTTACCTGTATTCAATGATTTTCAAAAATTAATGCAACTGAAGTTCTATTATTAGGTCTTTCCAGCTTTCTCTGGAAAGACCTATTGATATTCTTCTGTTTCTTTTTTTCCTTTTCCTTTTTCTTTATTATTTTTCCGCCGTGTGATTTTTTGTTTCAAGATTTATCGAAAAGACTTTGAGTCGATATGAATGTACCTGGTAAAAGATTTTCGCAGTTGACCCTGCGTATATGAACTTTGACAACTTTCAGAGTTACGACCCCTTTCGCAATAAAAGCTTGTTATCGCTACTCCTCCGAAACCGTAAACCGCAGAGATTCCAAACCTTTATTAATGTCTACGACTGATTTAGTAGACTCTTCAATCAAACATTGCGAAAGGATTCGTAAACTCCTATAATGAATTATTGCCCCTGAATGTTTGCGATGTTTACGAATATCAAGAACTTTTCTAAAACGACAAGGCGTAGAGACATGGGGCCAACTGCAAAAGATTTCTTTACCTTTGACCTTAAAATCTAGGTCAAGGTCAAAGGTCAAGGTCATTCAAAATATGTAAAATTAAGCATTTTTTATAGCTCTTTTGTTCTTAACCAAATTCTAAACTTCTTTGCATTTTTAGTATGTACTCTTAAAACCATTTCAGAGATTCCATGCTTGTCCCTTAAGATTGAACCCTCTAAAAGTTAGTGCCCCTTTCATTGTAAACCCTTGTTATCGCTACTCCTCCGAAACCATAAACCGTAGAGGTATAAAACCTTCAACAATGTCTGCGACTAATTAAGTACACTTCTCATTCTATTGATGCGAAAGAATTCGTAAACATTTAAAGTAGTTATTGCCCCTGGCAGTTTATGATGTTTACAAAGAACTAAAAACTTCTTAACGACAAGTCGTAAAGACATGGGCCCAACAGTATGAGATCTTCTGACCTTTGACCTTGAATATAAGGTCAAGGTCAAAGGTCAAGGTCATTGGGAAAGTATCAAAATTGCTTATTTACAGGCTCTTGGTTAAAATGACCTTGACCTTTGACCTTGATATTTGAACTTGACCTTTGACCTTGACCTTTTCTCAAAAGTTTAAAAAGATGTATTCTTTTTCTTTACCTAGATTCAGCTTCAAGTGTAAAACTCAAGTTTATAAGAGTGTTTTTTTTATTTATTTTTTTTCATGACCTTGACCTTTGACCTTGATAAATGACCTTGACCTTTGACCCAAAGGTCACATGCAAGCTTAAGTATGTGGAGGTATTTATAATTCTCACGTCAACAAACACTTATATAATACCCCCCCCCTCCCCCCCGATTTCTCTAAAAAAAAAATCAGTAGCGGCATAGAAATTTTTTCTACAACTCAAAGGACATAAAAGATCAAGATAAAATTCAGTTTAGCATGTAAAAGACACCTCAAAGAAAGTGCCCTGAGAGTTTTACGGTGAGTCTCTTAAGTACAATTAAATTCTAGTGAATATCGGCGAAATCTACATTTTTTTTCTGTCTGAAATTTAATTGCTGCTGAGTATAAAAATTAAATTAAGCTTGTATTGGCCATTTCTTCGATTGTTGTTAATATCACTCGATTCTCCTGCTCCAATACGATATTTCGATACTAAATATTCTTGCTTTCTTTAGTATGTGGAATTTATTTCAATTTTATTTAGATTTAATATTAATGAAATGAATCTCGAAAATAGCGATTTTTCCTGTCAAATAAAATTCCACGCTCTCGATGACACGGTTTTTTTTTTTTCCTGAGATGCATGTTTCAAGTTTGATTTATGCTGGTAACTATGAATTCAATTCAAATAGAAATGATTATTAAATCAGGTCTATGAGTTTACCATATATGTCAAAACCAACGCGGCCTTTTTCAAATATATAAATTGCTACGCAACCTCAAATGCATGTATCCCCGTTAATAGCAATATCATAATTGTAATCAGACAATACCCCTTACATATTAACTCGAAAACAATCTCATTCCAACTCACATATACACCCAGGAGCTTGTCAGAAGTTTATTAATTGGATCTCTTTGACTAGTCAATGAATCAAGGAAATTCTGGTAACTTTAACTCGACTATAATACAAGACAATTTCAAGGGAACCCGTAGCGTAGTGGTTAGAGCGCTCGCCTGCTAATCAGAGGGTCCAGGGATCGAATCCTGCTGGAGCACTTTATGATTTTTTTCATTTCAAATTTTGTTTTTTTGGTTTTTTTTTTTTGGGTTTTTTTGTGTTTTTCTTCTTTTTTTCAACCCAAATGACACGGAAACACTTAAAAAGCTGGAAAGACCTCTTATTGTTCTGTGAACAATAAGTCTCCTAGTTTTATTTCGGCTTTTATTTTTGAATTTATAACAAAACTGTCAGAGGTGAAAATAATTACTACTTTCTGTAACTAATATGGAAGGCATATAAGGATTCATTCACCCTCAAAATAATAAGTCAACTTAAAATTGTTGCCTCAGTCACAGATTATAGTCATCGTAGATGGATTCCAAACTGAAGAATTGCGAACAAAAGATGTCACAGATAATATTGGTTCTAAATTATTTACCTGTCCAGCTGAGTGAGTAGTTCATAGTCTCCCTCAGTGAATTCTCTGTTTAATAAGTCATTAGCTACAGCCTCTGGTAGAACTGCTCCATACGTTCTCTGGGCAGGTCGCCATCTCTGATTTCTCTTCTACAGGAGGAAAAAACAAGGAACAAAGGAATGAAAGAGCTGATCAAGGGAATTTTTTTTTTTTACAGTTTGCTTCATTTATTCCAGTCTTCTGAAAAACTGAATAAAACTTGTTAAGATATACAAAGTTGAAAAATTGAAGAGTGACACTGTTCTTATTTTTAAATTTTTATTTTATATGGTGTTAAAACATGTATAAATAAAAATTTGACAAATTTTCTCAGTTTTATTTCTCTAGCTCTTACATGTCTGTATTCAAATGGGTGGCTTGTGTGAATGGAAGTGTTGAAACACGTCTGACACAAGTGGAAATCTGTACACGCTGTGCACCTGTCAAGTAAATAATTTATTATTCAAAGAATTCAAAATTCTTATACAGAAAACTGAAACACATTACTTCCGACTCCTGTTTTGGTAAGCTCTAAACCTCGGAGAGAACAAATATGTCAAATTTTAGACTACACTTATAAAGACTGCATGCATGTAGGCAGCTTTTGGAATCTAATAACATCAAACATATCATTTAAATTCTATCCTTTTCCACCAATTCTGTAGTTACCTGTAGCATTTCCCTTCAATCGGTGAAGCGTGACAGCTTTGACACCTTGTGTAAAGATGACGATCCATTCTACCTCCCGTGGGGACCCCCATAGCATTACGACTCTCCTGTTTCAGGAGTTCAAAAGGGCCAAAGTCCTCTCGACAGAATGGACATTTAATGGTCTTCTCTCCAGAAGATTTCTGGTGGTCTGCCCAGATCTTCATACATTTGATGTGGATGCTGTTACCGCAACTAAATCTGTGGAAAGAAAATGGCTTTTCAAAAACACGAAAACTGAATTTCATTGAAGTAAATATCAGGAAATATTTTTTTTACAGATGGAAAATCATACATCGGCACTAAAAGGGGTAAAGGTGGTCAATGGGTGTATAAGGTCCTCTGTAATCAGAATTTAGGTATTTTTGTACTAAGTCTACTTGTATATCAAGTCTTAATAAAAATTAATTCAACCAAAACTGTAGGAGGAGTAATAAGCCCAAAACAATGAAAACTAAAATCCTATTGAGGTAAATTTTGACACAAAAGTAGATTTTATGAGTTGGAGACTCATGCAGGGACACTTCAATGGGGGTAGGTGATTATTGGGTGAATGTCAGGTCCTCCCTTTTACATACTTGCAGAATGTCACAGGCTGATGTTTCTGTAGCAGCTCATCCTGGCAAATTGGACAACAGTCCTCTTCCTTGATTTCTCTCTGTTGAATCGTGGGCCGCCCATCGGACAGTTGCCCGGTTTTATCTGGTGGAGCAGATGTTGCCCACCTTCTCTGAGGTTTACGCTGTCTGGTGCCAAACAGAATTTCGTTGATTTCTCTCTCCACTAGACCAAGTTGCCATGTGACTGAATTAAAGGTGATTGATACATGTAAATATATGTAAAACAGTAAAATATGATTCCTATCAAAGCTTAAATTGATAGTTATCAAAATTTCAATAAACAAAATAAAATGTTTTATTGAGTCGTGCAGTCAGTTTCTGTCTGAGATAATGATCAATTTAGCTGATCAAGAGGTAAATTTCTTCAAGTTCTTTGTATACCGGTAATTTAGTCATTTATCATTGAAATATCATCACACTTTTTAAATTTTTTCCCCTTTCAGTTCGGTAGATGTTTTAATAAATTAAGATAAGGAATTTTAATTTTTGGTAAATGAGATTTAACTGAAAAGTATTACAAATGATAATTTTAAAAAAAGCAAAGGCTATTAAATTTTCTAGCTGCAAACAAATTAATGAATTTAATCATTAATGCAACAGAAGCAGAACTCTACCTGGATTATCCTGTGGAACTTTGAACTTTTTCAGAATCAGCCAACAAATGTGTTTACAAAGATCTCTATCCTTCATAAAGTTTGAACAGGTACAGGAATGAGGATCCCCTAAAAACACCTGAAAAAATATAATGAATCTTAATCATTTCAACTATATATGTATGTCTAAATTAAACTTTGTTATTTCTAAATGACTGATTCACAACTGATAAGATAACAACTCTCATTAAGAAACTAATGCTAAAATAAAAGTTTCTTTAGATTAGAAGATTAAATTTTGATGACAAGCTATATTTAAATCCGCAGGTCTCTTAACTACTTTGACTTTGAATTTCAAATTATGTCTTCATTTGTTTACAGGACCATTTAAATCAGATTCACATTCACAGACCCCATTTAAAACTGGTCAAAAATTACTGTATATATACATGAAATTAGTTTTTAAACACCATCAGGGACCCTTACTTTGACGGGCTTGGCCTCTCCCTCCTCTTTCAGTAGAAAGCCAGTCGGCCCAGTCTCACGGAGGATGTAGATCGTAGAGTCCAGTGCCTGACATTGTCGCCAGAACACCAAGTCATTGCATGTGCGACGCCACGCTACACTCCTCGACATTCTGTAAAAAATAAAAATGACAATTTCAATATATATCTGTACATATCTTCCTCATCTATTTCAAAACTTCCTTGTCAAAATACGGAGACTTAAATAAAACTGAAACTGCCAAGTCAGGCATGTCAAGCTAGTGGTTGAGCCAGCAGGACTACGTAAGTAGGTTAACAAATAGATAGAACGTCGTGTCTTAAAATGATATAATCTTACGGACCAGGTTTGTGGTGAAGGCTTGTACCGAAACTCAGATTATTTTTATTACTTAAACTAGTTAACATATGTTTCCCAAATTCAATATCACGACTAAAAGAAAATATGTCAGTATTAACAATTCATTGTGACTTCCTTTGATAGACAGATTATGAATATTAGGCCCCTGAAAGAAATAATTAGGCTATCTACCTTCTTCAAAAGAAAATCAATTTCTTGTCAGACAGCCATGTTGTTTATTGCCTCGTTTTGAAATCACCATGAAGAAGGCAAAATAAGCGTCAAAGCGATAATGGTATAATTTCCGGATGAGCTAACAGATTTATAAATCGGTTTGCCAACTACATTGTACGATAAATAAAAGTTACAGTGAATTTAAATTAAACTGACAAATTTTCCAAAGATACAGGCAGCAGTGCAGAGAAATTATGAATTATAACAATGTTTCAATCTGATGTTCACTGCATCAGTTTTTTCCCCGAATGAGCCAGTTACATCAATACATGTAATAATATATTAGATTTTTAGTACTTTTTAAATTATTTCAATGTTCACTTCACATAAGTTTTTCTCCAAAATTTTACAAGCCATTTACGTGTAATAATATAATTATTTGATTTTCACAATGTTTCAGTACTTTCAATTAAATCATTGTAATATTCACTTCACATCAGTTTTTTTCCCGAAATTTTATACACCATAAGCCATTTACATGTAATTTCATTTTATATTTTTTGATTCGCTTTGAAAGACGGGTTGTAGAAGAAAAAAAACGCTTCAGTGCTAACCCCAGAGAGAGAGAGAGAGAGGGGGGTGTTTAAAAATGGTTTTAATAAATGATTCAGATCTTGAAAACTTTATCCATGTATTTTTACAGATAATGACAATTTTTGGAAAAGCTAAATAAAATGTAACATTATATCTAGAACTCAACAACTGTCTATCTAAACATGCTAAAAGAAACAGGATAATTTGATTATACCCTTCTATGTGTAAAATTTTACCAGGAACTCAACGAATTAAATTTTGATATGGACATCTTCATTTAATTCACAAAGTAAAGAAAAAGAAACTATGTACACGTCAGCGAAATGATTGTAAAAGTTTTTAGTAACAACATAAAATCTTTGACAAGCCAAAGAAGAAGGGAATTGTCCAAAGTCGAACATCTTCTTTTTGGAGGTAGGGGTGTTAGGTTCCAACTTTTTTTTTTACAGGCAAATCCCTTCTATCCCCGATGTTGACTCTATATTGCAACCAAAATGGCTTACTAGGGGATGATTCATTTTAAAAAGTTTGACCCCGCCCCCATTGCCCCCTGTCAGATGCTCTGTGCCTGATACAAGCAGTCATGACAGTAAATTATATTCAAATAGTCTGGTCCTGATTCTTAAAAAGAAGGCTAGAAATAAGTTCTAACGGCATTTAATTATTATTTGGTCCAGCATAGTTTTTAAACCTATTTCGAGTATGCTGAATCCGAAAAAATATGCTGGCCTTCATGAAAATGGCGTTAAGTAGGTCAAAATGGCGATTCAAAATGGCGGACACCAAATTTTTCCAAATTCTCCGTTGAAGCCGCTCAACCTAGAAAAGGATGCCGAAATAGCCTTGTATATACTTATTTCATATTAAAACATTTCTAATAGCTAGAAATGAAGTACTTTAGTTAAATAATGCAGCCGTTTTCCTCCAAAAATTCGAATTTTCTCTGTTTTTTCAAAAAATCTTTTATTTCTTTGCATACATGCATGTTCATGCATTTTAGATTAGTTCTTTTGCGTGGAATCATACTAAAAAAAAAACAAAAAAATATATAATATATTTAAATTCAGTTTTGAAATAGAAATAAGCATAATAAAAATCAAAGTTATATGCATTTAACATTAACAGTCCGCACACTGAATTCATGTTTGACTTAACAATGAGACGTAATACAGTGCGTCATGAATAAAAGTTATACGTAATACATTTCGTCATGAATAAAAGCTATACGTAGCTTATAGATAAATGGTATTGTTTAACCAGTTCATTGGTGGGGCTTCAATATGACTGAATCATTAGGACGTAAACGAAAACATCAATACAATACCGATTTGTGTGTGATATGTCAGGACAGAAAACCAGATGTTTTAGAGTTAAAATCCAGAAAGTCAATAGAAACATTAATTGAGAGAGCATCTCGTCGTAAAAAAGTTAAAGATGCAAAAAATTATGATGCTATTGATAGAATTGAGCAGCTGAGTTCAGTTGAAAGAGTACTCTGTCACAGGAAATGTCACAGTGAATTTATACATCCAAAATCTATAAAAGCAATAGAAACAAAAGCTAGTGTCCTTGAAGATATTCCAAGGTCGAATACAGACTCACAGAAACTACCGTCTACTTCTACGTCCTCCAATCTCTCTTCTTCAACGACCCGTTCCTCTAGAAAGTCATTTTCTCCTGTAGATTGGGAGTTATGTATGTTTTGTCAAAAACAGAATCGAAAAAAGTTATTCAACATTACAACCTTTTCTGTAAGTGACATGGTCTTACAGAATGCCAAATATGACGAGGCATTGCGAGTTAAATTAGGGAATGTAAGCGATTTGATCGCTGCAGAGGGTAAATACCATTTAAAATGTATGAATGCATTTAAGTATGAAACGCAGAAAACAGAGAAAGAGTCCCAAGGTGAGGATCTAGCCATGATTTTTCTTGTTCGTGAGCTTGAATACGCAGGGAATAAGCACCAAATTTTGCAGCTTTCTGATATTTGGAATAGATACTGTAGACTGATCGAAGAGATTGGGTCTGAAATCCCTCAGTGTTACATTACGCGAAGATCGACATTCAAAGATAACCTACAAATAAGGGTGAAAAGTATCTTTCAGTTTATCCGTCCTATGGATAGAACAATCTCTGAACGCGAAACGCTTCTAGTGCCACATACTTGGTCTGCATCTCATTTTGGAGAAATATTCAATGAGGGACAAGATATCACAGATGATAAATTTCTCACCATGCCAAGTTATAAACCTACACATAACTCTTTTCACGAACTTGTACATGTTGCATTGAAATTAAGATCAGATCTGCAAGATAGAAGTGGGCATAAAGGTTTAAACGTGAGTGAGGACGATGCCATTGACTGTGTTCCAGAAAGTGTTCTCATGTTTTTAAATCTTCTGTATGGTGGGCAAGAACTTTTTGAAATTGCTTCCAGCGAAGAGCCTCCGGTGTTCACTAGACAAAAAAAAGTATTAAGTGTCGCTCAAGATATTGTCTATGGGGTGAGTGATGGGAAAAAGTGGACTCCAAAGCATATTGGCCTTGCTTGTACATTACACCAAATGACAAGATCAAAACAGCTCTTGAATTTATTCAATAGTGCCGGTCATACGCTTAGTTATAAGGATGTGCTTAGAATAGACACAGGTCTAGCAGAACGAAGCCTCCAGTCTATGGACGAGAGAAGTGGTCATTTTTTACCATTAAATTTAAAACCTAATGTTTTCACACATTTCACGGCCGATAATATAGACATAAGTGACTCGACACTGGATGGCAAGGACACATTTCATGCAACGCAGATTGCTTGTTGGCAACGTGGATCAGGAAATGACCTTGACCTGAAACACATATTTCCATCTACAAAGGAGACTTTACAGGTACCTTCTCAGATAGACAGGATTGTAGAAACCACTGTAATAGAGGGGAAATCACAGCCCCTTTATCCAAAAGAAGTTACTCTAGATGTTTATAAAGCTCCTGATAAAGCAGATCAATCATCCTGTGATGCGTTTTCAGAAGAACTACTGTTTCATTTGAAAAGAAACAAACAAGATGTCCCAATTACTTGGTCTTCTTTTAATCAGTCAATCAGCAGCATAAATCCCGATCTCACTATCGTTGGTTACATGCCTATCGTACAAGCACCTGCTCACGAAATAGATACGCTTAACACAGTTGTCCAGAAATGCATGTACATATCTGACCGTCTTGGTCAACGTCACACTGTATTAACAGTTGATCAAGCTCTGTACTTCAAGTTGATGGATTTAAAATGGTCAGTTCCAGAATACAGAGACAGACTTGTGCCACGAATGGGTGGCTTACATATTGCCATGAACTTTTTGAAATGTATTGGAAATCATATGAGTGGTTCTGGTTTGTACGAACTCTGGATGGAATGTGAATTGCTCGGGCCCGTTGCTGCTCAAAATGTTCTAGCAGGAAAGCACTATAATCGCGGCATGAGAGCCCATAAAATCACTGTCCAAGCTCTATGGAAGATTCTGCTTCCCAGCTTTTTGTTATTTGTAGCTAACAAGGACGTAAATCATTCACAAATATTGAATAGTGTTATGAATGAACAGAAAGATATAGAGTCTTGTTTAGAGCTACTGCAGGATACTGTGTATAGGGAATATTTTTTAAATTTCAGAGAAGAAATTACTAATCCAAATGTACTCTTTTGGTGGTCATATATGGATTTAGTTTCTATTCTCCTGGTATTTACAAAATCAGAAAGAGAAGGTTTGTGGGATTTGTATTTGTACTCATTCAGGGCCATGCTCCCATGGTTCTTTCGATATGACCATATAAATTATGCAAGGTGGGGTAGTGTTTATCTGGCTGATTGTCACCAACTGCCGCGTGAGGTTCTTGAAGAGTTCAAACAGGGCAACTTTGTTGTCAAAAGAAGCCAAGGAACATTTAATCAAGTGGATCCAGATCAAAGTCAAGAATGGCTTAACGCTACAGGTAAGAAGGGTGGTGGCATAGTGGGTATCACGAGAACTCCCTCTGCACTCAGTAGGTGGTCTCTTTCCTATAACTTAAGGTCACATGTAAGTTTTCTTACTAAAACCATGTACGACGTGAATCCAGATGACATACTTACTCACAAGGATGCATCAAAGAGTCGACAGGTCCTTGACTCAGAGTTTGAGGAATCACTAGTTAATGCAATGAAAAGGTTTAAAGTGCTTGACCCCTCCTACGAAAGAGATGAATTAATCAACGTGATCACAAAAGACAAGGCTACTGATCTTATCAGAGATTCGTTACTATCTTCAGCGCATTTGGGTCAAGTACAGTTGGAGAGTTTTGCTTCAGATCGTTTAATCCCAAACAAAGAAAAGGGTACATTAAACGTTCCTTTGCACCATACTTTGAAAAAAAATAATCCTTTAACATTTGAATCCTTATACAAGGTACGGGTTGGTTCTAAAGCTGTTGAAAAAAGGAACATTCT